ACACACACACACACACACACACACACACACACACACCAAAAAAAGGCATCAGGGAAAGCAAATGGTTAAGCGCACTTATTTGGGACACGAAGAGGAGGTCGTCTCGGAGTCTGCTGTTCATGCAGCCCAGACTGTGCTGGGGAGCTTTGGCAGAACACCCCGCGCTCTTCCCGCCCTCTCCCACAGGGGCCGGAGGTCCTCTGGAAAGGGACGGTGTGGGAAGAGCAGGTGGGCTCTCTGCTCCGGTCCGGTCCTGGATGTCGCCCTCGCAGACACAAGCAGAGCTATGCCCACTCCTGCCTCCGCCAGGAGAGGAGGAGAGGGAGTAAGGAGGATGGCTTGGAATGAGAGAAAGGAGCAAGAATGAAGTGGGGCAATGATCTGAAAAATGAGATAGGAAATCTACAGCCCTTGCCCAGACCACAGGCGTTGCCGGTGTGGTGTCTCCGAGTTCCGAAATCGACTTAACTGAAATGTACGGCCCTAGCCCGCCTCCCCATCCTCGGAAGTAGCCGGAGCGCCTTCCCATCGCTTAATGTCTTTATTAAACTTTGTATCTATGCTCCTCTAAAGAACAGATTACAATTTCATATGGTAAAAATATTTTCCGCTCGTTGTCTTACGGTCCGGAAGCCGCCTGCCAGAGAGGACGAGCCGGAGTTCGCGCTCTGCGGAGAGCAAAACTCCAGGCACACACGCTCCCCTTTCCACATCCGTGCGTTTCCTCGAAGACTCCAAGGGGGATCTGATTCACTAGAAAAGCATCATTTGCTGAGCTGAACTTTGCCCACGAGTGTTTGATTTTTATGCTTTGATTTTTCCCCCCACGCAGCACCAATGCGTTTTCCAAAAATCACTGTAACTCTCAATCACCGCTGACAGCAGGAGACCTTTGGCGACACCTGGGTGTGGGGCGTGTTCGCAGGGGAACCCACTGTGTAGGGGGGATCAGGCGCCTAAGCTGGGAGAGGTTGCGGCTGGGCGCGGCCGGGTTACGTGATACAGATCCGTGTTCCGGGGCTGCCGCCTGGCTCCCTTTCCCAACAGCCCATCGCGAACCGCGCCAGCCTCGGTGGGAACCTCTCTCTGCGACCGAAAATCCCCGAGGGCCTAGCGCGTGCCAGGCCGGCCTCGGCCCCAGCTCCAGGCGTCAGAGAAGCTAGTGTCTTGGCAACTGCGAGCGAGCCACCACCCTTCCCGCCACGCCCGCTATAACTTGGCTCCCAGCTTGGGCCGCTGAGAGCGCGCCCCTTCTCGGGCCTGGGGTTGTGGCGGTGCAGGGTAGAAGGGCCAGGCCGCCTGCGCATTGGTGATTCCGGCGATTGGTGCGTGGAGGGAGGTGTGTGGAATGTTAAAGGCGGAGATCACCCTCAGGGCATCATCCTTCACCGAGTCGCACAAATCCAGTAACTGCAAAACATGACACAAAGTGACAGATCAGACGTTGGCTCACTTACAGCGCGGGGTGCCATTGGCTTTGCGCCCACTCCCAAGCACCTGCACAGGTAGCCACTGGGGAAACTAGTTTCCCTTGGGATTTCCAGGGACCCAGGAGGGTAGAGGCCTTTGGTCATGAATAACCGTCACGAGACTTATCTTAGAAATTCCCAAGTCTGTGACAGCTGGTCCTGCAGAAGTCCACTTCTTCCATACAGGGTTGGGGGCGGGCTCCAAATTAGATGGGAATCTCAGGACCAAGGTCTGGGAATTTTATCAGCATTCCCCTTGCCTGCGCTGCCCTGCCCTCCCCTCTCCTCCAGTCCCCATCCTTTTCCTCCCCTCCACCTCTGGAGTGCCTGGGGTGCCCCCCTCTGGCGTGCTAACGCAATTGAACAGGAAGAGCATCAGACAGGTGAACCCATTGGAGACTAGCCCCGGTTCTCTCCAGACTAGCACCTCCCCACCCCTGGCTGGCAGCAGGCCATAGTTCCCGAAATGCAGGCACAGTGGGACTGGGGGTACCAAGACCAAGCACTGGCATCTCTGTGCATCTTACACCTGGTTACTGCAGCAAATCGACCTGCAGTTAAGGCGAACACCGAGGAACCTGGCAGATGTCCATGTGTATTCTGATAACCATTGGAAAACACAAATATGACATCTCGGCAGACGGGAGGGGGAAATGTAAGCTAGTGATTTTGGAGGAGCTGCATTGGGTGTATTTTAATTTCATTTTCCATGGATTAGGTGCCAATGCATTTTTTTTCTTTTTATTCCCAGGGCAAAAAAAAAAAAAAAAAAAAAAAAAAAAAAAAGCTACCAAAAATAATAGGTTGTTTTTCTAAAACTCAACAAGGACAAGGCGGAGGGTCTGCTTTCCTTTCCCATAACCAGCTGCACAATTTACCCCTCCATTTTTTAAGTTTTCAGCCAGCCATAAATTTCTTTCACTCACCAAATTACAGTTAGCCCCCAAGTTTTTATGGTTGTAAAAACAACACTTACACCAGCCCCACGGTAGCCGCCCTCACAGCAGTGGCCATTACTGAGCTACATTAATACTGTAAAGAGCACAGTTCCCTTACAGCAGTCCCAAATCCATTTCAGGTGTTCAGAGACAATGAGGGGGGGTGTCCCCAAAACAGGGGTTGGGGTAGGATAGAGGAAGATCATGAATTTTAATAGTCTAACAATACATCTGCCTTTAAAATGTGCTCTATTACACCAGTAATTTCTAATGAAAACCTTCATTCTTTACACACTGTGGTTAAGCATCATAAAATCAGTAGTGAAAAGACTTTGATCATATTTGCAAGATGCACTATGATGAACTTTCACTGACCAAGATTTCAAAGTTTGTAATTAATACTCTTGACAAATCCCTGACTAATCTGTCAACTCTCAAGGTCTTTAACCACACAGCTCAAAACCGTGAGATGGTGTAGGAGTCCTTAAACCGTCTATGTATTGTAACGTCATTATTCAAGATAAGTTTTCCTTTAGGTCTGCATTATGAAACTCAACCAATTTTTGTTACATATTCGACAATGGGGGAGATTCAATTATATGAATGAGTGTTATACGGAAGAGAGTATGGGTTTGGTCTGGCCAGTACCAGACACAGAATAAGCACTGAGAGAGAGAAATTGCAGGAGGCAGATTTATTCAATTCCACAACTATTCCACAATTCCACAATCTATTCAATTTCCACTTTATTCTCTTAAAACATTTTTTAAGTGTTTATTTTTGAGAAAGACAGAGCGAGCCCAAGTGGGGGAGGGGCAGAGAGAGGGAGACACAGAATCCGAAGCAGGCTCCAGGCTCCGAGCTGTCAGCACGGAGCCCGACGCGGGGCTCGAACCCACGGACCATGAGATCATGACCTGAGCCGAAGTCGGACGCTTAACTGAGCCACCCAGGCACCCCTTCACAACTTGAAAAATAAGAATAAAGTGATACAAAAGGATCTAACGGTTGGAGAAGAGGAGGGTTTTCTCACTCATAAGTGTTCAGGGAGCAACCCCTTCAAATAAAACTCTACAGATGAATGCTGTTATAGAAGGGGAAGACCATGTGTCAACTGCTAAGATTCTTTGTTCAACCTAAATTTCTGAGGCCGTCTAAAATATTCCTCCTTCTCCCTTTCTCCATTTGTTGCAGACCGCAACAGGCCCATTGGTCCAGATCCAAGGATCGGGCATCACTTCTTATATAACAAGTTTGACTCCGATTCCAGATACTCCCTTACCTCTGCCTGTGGGGATGATCATTATTATTATCGTCCTTTCCCTTACTAAGTACATACTGGAATCCTATCCTGTGGTATGGATTGTGCTGGGCACTGGAGATTCAGTGATGGATACTGCAGACCCAGGCCTTCTAGATCAAGGAGATGTTGAAGAATTTCAAAGACTTTTTACAAATAGGATCTCCTTAATAGAAAATAAACTTAAGTAACGAATATAGCATTTATTATTATATATACGGTATTTTTTTTTTTATTACGAGGGAGTCCCCTAGGACTAAGCAAAGGGCAGGCATACCTTAGAAATATAGGAGGTTCAATATGTTTTCACTCCTATGTGGATCCTGAGAAACTTAACAGAAGACCATGGGGGAGGGGAAGGAAAAAAAAAATTGGTTCGAGAGGGAGGGAGCCAAAACATAAGAGACTCCTAAAAACTGAGAACAGGGGCGCCTGGGTGGCGCAGTCGGTAAGCGTCCGACTTCAGCCAGATCACTATCTGCTGTCCGTGAGTTCGAGCCCGCGCCAGGCTCTGGGCTGATGGCTCAGAGCCTGGAGCCTGTTTCCACTTCTGTGTCTTCCTCTCTGCCCCTTCTTGCTCTGTCTCTCTCTGTCCCAAAAATAAATAAACGCTTGAAAACGAGAACAAACTGAGGGTTTATGGGGGGGTGGGTGATGGATATTGAGGAGGGCACCTGTTGGGATGAGCACTGGGTGTTGTATGGAAACCAATTTGACAACAAATTTAATACTAAAAAAAAAAGAAATATAGCAGGTTCAGTTCCAGACCACTAATACAAAGCCAATATTGCAACAAAGCAAGTCAAAGGAATATTTTGGCTTCCCAGCGCATATAAAAATTATGTTTCACGCTATAGCTTAGTCTGTTAAGTGTGCAATACATTTAATAAAACAACATATGTATGTTGATTAAAATAGATTTTGTTATAAACATTAACCATCATCTGAGCTTTCAGCTACTTGTAGTCACTCATCACAGATCACCACAACAAATAAAATAATAATGAAAAAGTTTGAAATATTGCAAGAATTACCAAAATGTGATACAAGGACACAAGGTGAGAAAATGCTGGTGGGAAAATGGCGTCAACAGATTTGCTTAACATCGTGTTGGCACAAACTTTCAATTTGTAAAAAAAAAAATAAAATGCAATACCCACGAAACACAATAAAACAAGGTACATCTGTACTTTTATTTTTTTTTATTATTATTATTATTTTTTTAACGTTTATTTATTTTTTTGGGACAGAGAGAGACAGAGCATGAACGGGGGGGGAGGGGAGCAGAGAGGGAGACACAGAATCGAAACAGGCTCAGAGCCTCTGAGCCAGTCAGCCCAAGAGTGGGGCTCAACTCACGGACCGTGAGATCCTGGGCTGAAGTCGGACTTAACAGGCTAAGCCACCAGAAAACCCCTGTACTTTTAAAGTTTAGTTTTATTACCAAATATATACGTCCATAATATAAGCACAAAAATGGCGCCTATAGTAGTCTCCCCTTCTCCCCATTATGCCAGTATAGGACCCAACTGTTCTGGTCAAAGCACCCCAAGCCCACCCGTCCCTTTATAAGGAAAACTCACCAGCTTTTGAGAATACACCAATGCATAGCTGTCCTTTAAAAATAAAAGAGCATGAACAAGTTACAAATTCTTATAGAAAAAACTTTAAAGAACCCGTAGCATGGGCAGTATTGCTCTAAAAATAATTACATGAGATCCACTGGAACTATCCAGGGACGGGGATCTGAGAATATTTACCTTGAAGAAAGTGGAAGTGCTCAACACTCGAGGGACAGTGGGCAGGCAAGTTGGTATGTGGATTTTCAGGGGGAAATTTATAACGAGTTTGCCTTCCCACCCCTACCTAGTTGCAGTAGTTTGTCTCTTTTCTTCCTCTTTGTCCCAGCATTTTCCTTATTCCAGGTGGGAGACTAGGATGGTCTAGAATGGGCAGTATCTAAGCTTTATAGCCTTCTTTTTTTTTTTTCCTTTCTTTTTTTTTATTTATATATGAAATTTATTGTCAAATTGGTTTCCATACAACACCCAGTGCTCATCCCAAAAGGTGCCCTCCTCAATACCCATCGCCCACCCTCTCCTCCCTCCCACCCCCCATCAACCCTCAGTTTGTTCTCAGTTCTCAACAGTCTCTTATGCTTTGGCTCTCTCCCACTCTAACCTCTTTTTTTTTTTTTTTCCTTCCCCTCCCGCTTTATAGCCTTCTAAACAAAATCCAGTTTTCCTTGTGTTGGTGTTAATTATACAATAGATGCTCAAGGTATGAGGTGTCCAATGACACCCCAGCTATTCCAAAGACTCTGTGCAGAAGGTTTTCCTGCCTCTTCCCATGCCCCCCACCTCTGTTACCAACACCAGGGGACCTCCTGCTGTTCTCTGTGTCAAATCCCTTACCTCAGCTTGAAATGGCCCCCAGTTAGCCCCTTTCTTGTGGGCACTGGGATAGCACCTTTTTCTCCATCCCTTGAATCTGGGCTGCCTTGTGACTTACCTCGACCAATAGAATGTGGAGAAGGTGACACTGTGTGACTTCCAGAGGTTAGACCTCAAGAAGCCTTGCAATGCATGCCCATTCTCGCTTCCTGGGACCCTGAGACCACTTTGCTGTGCAGGTCTAGCCTGCTGGAGGATGCCCAAGGCCATGTGGAGAAGAACCAAGTTCCCTCGGTCAGCAGCCGAGGCC